ATCCAGGACCTCCAACCCAATGCCATCATCATGTCACGCCCCACTCTACGATCAAGTATAGCTGAAGCTACAAAATCTATGAAGAAGAAATTGATTGCGGCAATGAGTGAGGTGGAATACATTGCAACCACCACAGACTGTTGGACCACCAGAAGGCGCAGCTTTATTGGCATAACAGCTCACTGGCTTGATCCTGACAGTTTAGACAGCAGTAGCCCTAGCATGTAGGCAGTTAAAAGGCTCCCACACTTTTGAAGTTTTAGCGGCTGCATTAAACGACATCCACGCAGAGTACCAGATCTGTGATAAGATCGTTAGAACAACGACTGACAATGGGTCGAATTTTCTAAAAGCATTCCGCATTTATGGTGACCAAGATGAAAACAACAATGCAACGTACACTGAAGAGTTAAGCAACTCGGGCGAGGGAGATGATGATGAGGAGGAGATTCAAGAAGAGGAAGAAGTTGTTAACTACCAAGAAGTGGTGTGTGCTTGATATAGGCGATGGCTTTGAGTATCATTTACCCAAGCATAAGCGTTGCGCATGCCATCTTCTCAATTTGGTTTCAACAGTAGATGCTTTAAAGGCAAACTCGAATGAGGCCTACAAAAAAGTGTCCAGAGCCACATTTTCAAATTGCCAGGCACTATGGAACAAGAGTGCACTATCCGCTTTAGCTGCAGAAACCATCCAAGATGCATGCAAACTTCAGCTAATAAGGCCCAATGCAACCAGATGGAACTCGATGTTCCTTGCAGTGGAGAGATTAGTGAGGATCGTCAAAGAACAGGGAGAGGGAGCCATCCGAGATGTCTGCACGTCATTAAAAATTCCAATGTGAGTACTGTATTTTTGTTTATTGGGATTGTTTTCCAATGCCACTACTCCTACACTATTTAAGATAGACACACCGCACCAACTTAATTGTAGCCTCTCTACAACTGTCCGATTTATTGTAACTACTACATACTGACTAAATTGCCCCATCCTAACCCAACTCTTAAACATATTAACTACTCCAGTACAGTTATTCACTTAATCTACCCCACACTAATCAACCCACTACAGTTACCCTACTCTGACGGTCCTAATTGAACATTATATTCCATTCTAAAGCTACTTCCTAATATTTGATTAAACTCTCTCTATGACTACCCCAGACTGAAATTAATTGTTTTGTGTTTCAGACTCAATCCAACAGAACTGGGGCCTGATGTATAAACGTTGCATACGCACAAAATGGGCATAGAAATATGCGTACGCATTTTTTCACGCACATATCGGGATTTATAAAAACCGTAAGGATGCTCTTGACCATGCGTACGCACTCTTTTAGAAGAGTAGGCTATGTGTTTTGGCGACACCGATGGTGAGCTGGAATCAAATGTCTTTTTGTTCACTATTAGACAGAGAATCTAAAGAAAATTATACATCTACAGAAATATATATATATATCTCAAAATGAATAAATAAAGCTAATTTTAGACCTCCCCATATGAAGTCATCTGCAATCTTCCCACTTTGAAAGGGTGGGATGATTGAAAGTTGAGGATCGAGTGTCTCAGATGCAGCTGGGTATGGTACATAAAATTGTTTCGTAACCGGAAGTACAGAATCAACATCGTTGTTTTACCTTTTAATTCCTTTTTTTGTAAACGGCGTTTGAGTTAGTTTGCACGTTCAACCTATGCGTTCAACTTGTAAACACTGACTCTGTACTTCCGGCTACGTCGCCCGTGACCTTTTGAACGTAATTACGTATTACATGACGTTACAAACGCGCTTCACAGAATAGAGCAAGGCTAGCATTTGTCCTTAGAAAAGTTACGTTTTTGGAATAAGTTTTGAAATAACCGATCTTTTCGCATGATAAGACCCTTATTCATCGTCTGGTGTCGTTTAAAGACATTTGAAGCTGCATCTGAAACTGTTATTAACTGTTTTTTGGACCTTGAACCGTCTGGTTCCCATTGAAGTCCAGTATATGGAGAAAAATCCTGGAATGTTTTCATCAAAAACCTTAATTTCTTTTCGACTGAGGAAAGAAAGACATGGACATCTTGGATGACATGGGGGTGAGTAAATTATCAGCAAAAGTTTTTTCAAAAGTGAACTAATCCTTTAACATTATCATTATACATATCAATAGCATTATCATCACAGTCATTTGACCTGAATCACTGAACTCATACAGCAGAAAATTTCTGAGTTAAGTTTAACTTATGGATTATAGCAGCACTGCCATTGTAGAGCATACCATTTTTAACCAATCCAAAAGATAAAAAAAACCCCTAAAAACAAAAAGTATTTGTATGCATTAGGGGTGTGCAAAGCATCTGTATTTGTATTTGTTCATGGGGGAAAAGTATTTGTATTTGTATTCGAGTAAAATTCAAAATAGGCATAAAAATCTTTAATTTACTTTATAGTGTATGGATTCTTTAATTATATTCATTATAATAATTATGGATATGCAATATTGGTTGATGTTTTTCTATAAATCCAGCAATGAACATGTAACAAGAAAAGTCATTGAAAAGAAAATAACAGTCAGCCATTAGGCTATCTCATGAACCATGGTTAAACCAACAACTAATGAAATAAAATTGTGAACATTATGAACCCCAACACCACGGTGGAGGACGCTGAACAGACAGAATAAGTTAGGGATAATTTTTAGCGAGGAGATTGATTATGAGCCCGATGCGAAGCCCGAAGCCCAAATAAATCAATAATTTGACTCAAAATATGGATATAAAAAGGAGTTTATTGATTTAAAAAACGATTGTATCGCTTCCGCTAAAAAAGAAAAATAGTCCGTTCTGTCTCTACGTTTAGAATCCATGGCAACGCTCTGTTTTTCATGGCAACGGTGTGTTATACTTATTATAAGCAGCGGCCTGTTATAATAACAGACCGCATTCTACATTAGAATTCAACCAAGCCATAAAAGAAACAAATAATTACCGTTACCGAGCTAACAGAGCTATACGTAAAAGCGAACATGAGAGCACCCGTCTGCAGACGTTAATAATGGAATATACTCCCGATCAAACTCCGCTTCCCGAAAGTTATAAACTGCCTCCGGAACCTAGTTAAGGTACAAACATCTATTCAACAAAAATAGTGATGCAATTAGGTGTTTTTTCGCTCAGCAGAGCCCTCTCTGTTGCTGTGTGGAGCAGCCTGTGTCAGTCACCTCTTCCTGAACGTCACTCACTCAACTCGTGAGGAACGCAGCTTTTTGATATAAAGTATTTCTTGTTCCCGAATACAAATATTTTTTAAGTATTTGTTCGGAATAAGTATTCGTAAAAAAAAACATTATCTGTGCCTTTCCGAATACCGTATTCGGATTCGGCTCCACCCCTAGTATGCATGCACACACAGGCATCAATATTTAGCATATGGATCTCAGCAATGGTGACAAACAGATCGCCTCTGAACATACAGTAAGCTCATTCTTTATTCATGCAACAATTCATGATGGGAGCCATAAATGAGTTTTGATTGGTGGCATCCAGAATGCACTGCAACATGCTTTATAATAGTCACCACTGTGGAGATTCACAGGCTGATTCTTGATGTCTGTGTGTGCCTACATAAACTGATTTGTGTTTTAGAAGTTTCTTTTTCATTAATTTGATCATTTGGATTCCTTTGAAATGGCTAAATGCTATAATCCTTAAGGTAAACTTAACAGTGGCAGTGGCTCATGGAGGTTGTCTACAAACTGGAGGGTTGGTGGTTTAATCCCCAGTTCCACCTGACGAAGTACCGAAATATAATGATTATGTTAAAACAAATCCAACATCATCAGATCACCTTTTCTATGTGATCATCTGGCTGTTATACCTCACGTACAGCCAAACATAATCTAAAGTCAATAATGTGGGGGTCAAGAGCCCAACTAAAACAAACACTCATCTCCATAATGGTGACTTTAAATTTTGTTTTTCTCCTTCAGTGATTCTGCTTGTTATCATCAGGTGTCTTCAATAATGCTCAATCATCACTCAATTATTCATTTAATTGTCTCATTAACTATAACACTGCTTCAGTGTTCATTTAACACTCAGCTCAGAGTTTAATTGGATGGCTTAAAATGACTTCCATGATGTTGAAGATACATGAACAAATTATGTTTGTTTAACGAAACCCAGTTATGTGGAACCTGTTTACATAAAAAAGTTAAGTAAAGCCAACACATCATTTTTTTTTTTTTTGAGTGTATTAAGCGCTCTCACGTCCAGGGTTTGGTCTGGCGGCATTCCCACTTGCAGCAGTCAGTTCTGCCACCCCCTGAAACCATGGGATGGAAGACAGAGGGGAATTCCCTTACTCCCCAACTCATGTCACTACCCCCAGTTCCAGATGCCTGTGAGGAGTTAGGGTGCAAGACAGCCCGATGCGGATGCAAGCACTGCATCTTGCAAATGCAGAAAGTCCAATGATACTTGTATGAACGAATAGCTTTTGGAATATCTGTAATCACACTATTGTTGCTTGATTTTGTTGAAATTTCAGAGTTCCAGCAGCCACTTAAACATTAAAAACCGTCCCTTTCATGTTCATGTTGTTTTTTCATTGTTTACATGTTTAAATATTCTGAGAATGCACAGTTTAGTCCTAATTTTTAATGTTTAAACTGCAATAAATGCATTAAAACATAATAAATGCTTTAAAACTGTTTAAATGCTTTAAAAATGTTTTAACTGCAATAAATGCATGTTTTTTTTTGGCAGCCATTTTGTTTTTATTGTTTAAGCTAAAACAGTGATGTTTACAACTTGTTATACGTCAGAAATGGATTCAGCACCTAAAAATCATACAGAAACAACGCTTGAAGTACTTTTCCTCAAAAACGCCTACTGTATCCATGGCTATTTATCTATTTTGAGACTCGACTGATCAAAAACATGCATATACTCCAAATTGTTCAAGAACAGCATGCAATTTAAGTTGGATAAGCTTTTTGTAGGTGTTTTAGGCGAATTTTAACAGGTTAATAGTTAGCCTGAGTTAACTATCCTCTCTCACATGACATGCACTCACTCTCTCTTTTATATTTGTTTTTGACATCATTGACATTGGCAAGCAACTCTGGCTCTAAATTGTTTGCTTATGTCCCCCTGCGGTGTGTATTATAAAGGTTTGGATGAGAGAGGAGAAGTTTTATTCAGTTGAAGATTTCAGGATGAGAGAGCTGGTGATATTAGCAGTGTTGGTCTCGACTCTACACGTGGCCAGCCTCCATAAAAAGACTTATGCCATGTACAAGTGCCAGGAAAATCAGGACAGACATGCTGTGTTATCTGCCGAGCAGTTCATTAATGAACATCACCGCCATGGATACAAATTCAGATTTGTCTCGCTGGACAGTCGCACTGTAGAGAAGACGGTGAGAATTTATGACAGTCTCTTCCTGTGTCTGTTTTCAGAGTTTCAAAAGAGTTTACTTTTAGTTTATGAAGAATATTTCAACAACATAATGAAAGAAAAATTTTATGATGCTGCAAACTTGTTTCTGTGCAGATGGATCCTTGTGAGGTTATCTTGGGAATTACCTTAGAGGAAACTGAGTGCCACATTTCCAGTCCCACACCTTTAAAACAGTGTACGACTAGAGGCGAAGCGCTGACTGTGAGTTGAACATCACAGAATCAGATACACTGCATGTTATTGCTCTTATAGAGTGGCTTATCTAATTAACAGCCGTTTAATGTTCTCTTAATAGACAGTGACTGCAAAATGTAACGTGACTGTCTCCAGCATTAAGGGAAAAGCAACCGTGATGCGCTACATCTGTGACACTGAAGCAGGTGCTGTAAACACATTAACAAAGATTTGTCTTCTGCAGACACTCTACTTAATTAGTAGATCGAAACTCTAGCCTTTCAAAGAACCCACAATAATGTTTAAGCTCACTTTTTCAAAGAGTACAGAAATTAGGTAATGCAACTCATGTAAAATTGTAATGCAAAGTCAAATTAAGTTACATTTCACATAGTGATTGTATATTGCTCATAGTTTTGTATTTTGTTCCAGCTTCACATGAAACACTCGTGAGAAAATGCCCTATCTGTCCCAAACTACTGCCCTTGCATGATCCGAAGGGTCTGAAGAGTGTGCAAACTGCTCTGCAGAAATTCAACAAGGAATCCAGTCATGCATCTTACTTTAAACTGCTGGAAGTGGGAAGGATCAGCACACAGGTGACGTCTTTCAAACTCTGATGAAGCTTCAATATTTTATGCAAGTACATGAATACAAATGGAAAACTGAAATTTCACAATTATGATCGTCATTACATTCCAAACCTTGTCAAAATGCAACTTGTAATGCAGCTTAAATGCCCGCCAAGTAATAGAGCAACAATTTGAAAACAATCTTGCTGAGCAAGTTAGTAAAAATTTTTAAGAACAATTTTCCGCAATGTGAATATTGAAGTTAATGACACCAGACTGATCTCATGAAGTAGCGTGTGTATTGCACGCCAATTCGTATTTCCATTTTTGGCGTGCTATCAAGACGCATAATCGCTTTTCAGCGTGTTTATGAACACCGTTGACTTAACGTTATTACTGTATATATAAATATATGACTTACCTCAACCCCGTCCCTAAACCTAACCGTCACTGGGGTTAATGGCATTTATGACTGTTCCCTTACCATCCTAGGGAAAAAAAAAGATATGACTTACCTCATCCCCGTCCCTAAACCTACCCGTCACTGGGGTTAATGGCATTTATGACTGTTCCCTTACCATCCTAGGAAAAAAAAAACGATCTCTCCTCAGATATAGATCTACATTTTGCTTCGTTTCGCGCGGACATTTGACGGCGTGTACAGACACGCGGAATCACTTGGACATTTAACGGCGTAGACATACATGCATACACGCGGATAGCTGAAAATGCGTAGAGATAACACGCCACTTGACTCGAAAGTGGCGTGTATGTTTACGCAAAAGTCATGATGTCATGTTGATGACAGACAATTGATGGGAAAAAAAACACAGACACACCAAAAGCTAAAAAGTGCACACAAGACTACGGTCAACGGACAGCTTGCTTGTACATTATGCACATGCCTGAGAGAAAATAACTCTCCAATCCAGCAGGTGGCAGTCTGTATTCGCCATTTTTTGACAGTTTCAAATTGAATCGAGTGTTGTTACAAGTGTAGACACAGATGCATGTGTAAATCTGGCAACGTTTTGTTACGTTGGTTGTTTTGCGAATCACCTCAGTTCTGAATTGTCATGTCTTGTGAATGGTGCTAAAAGGTTAATGCTCTATCTATGGTGAAAATTCAGGACAGTCCTGAAATTAGGAGCTCTGTCCTGGTCCTGCAAGACATAAGCAGCTATTTCAGTTATATCTGTATCATTTCTGTATTATTACCACTATAAGAAATATAATAATACAAAATTAATTTGAAATATTTCAAAATATGCGTTTCAATATGGGTGTGTATAATGTACAATGCAGAGCAAAGCGTCCAAGGTTCGTTTTCAAATGGACAACAGTTTGAATACGATCATTACAACATCCATCCATCTTCTTCCGGTTATCCGGGGCCGGGTCGCGGGGGCAGCAGTCTAAGCAGAGATGCCCAGACTTCCCTCTCGCTAGACACTTCGTCTAGCTCTTCAGGGGGACGCCGTGGCATTCCCAAGCCAGCCAGGAGACATAATCTTTCCAGCGTGTCCTAGGTCTTCCCCGGGGTCTCCTCCCAGTGTGACCCCTCTCGATGTGGAGGAGCAGTGGCTCTACTCTGAGCTCCTCCCGAGTGACTGAGCTTCTCAACCTATCTCTAAGGGATCGCCCAGCCACCCTGCGGAGAAAGCTCATTTCGGCCGCCTGTATCACAAAGCTCATGACCAGTGTTGTGCCAGTTCATACTTAAAAAGAACTAGCTCAAAGTTCAGTTTACACAGATGATAATGAACTAGTTCACGTTCATAGTTCATTTTTTTTTAAAAATGAACTAAGTTCACATATCTAAAAATGGACTAGTTCACGTTAATTTGTTAAAATTCTTTTTAAGATAGGCCACTATCTTATTCAATAGAACCTCTTTACCATCCATTACCAGCTGCAAATCACTGCCACTCCAAAACTAATGAAAATTATTGTACCAATAAACAAGAGACAATTATTATAGCCAGGAGAACAATAATGTTGAGATAGAGAATATATTTACCCTTTAAATAATGTGTAATCATGATATGTAGAAATTGGAAAATATAAGGTGCAATCAAGGTAGGCTATACTGTATGTTCAGTGAAACTTTTATTTAGTCAGCATGAACCAAATTACCCAGGACTTTAAAAAGGTATATTCAGGTTCATGGGGAAAAGATCAGTCTACTGACAAAAATACGGCATGCAACAGCATTTTCTGTTTTGATCAACTAATTTTTACTCCTCTCTGCACTTTACTGTTAAAAGACGTAGGCTAAGTGTTAATACTTTGTAATATTCAGGAGCGACTTTCATGATTTTATTGCTGTATTTTTACATCTATTCAAATGAAGGATTTTACAAAATATATTTATTTTATATGCTGGAATATGTAGAAATGTATATTAACAGAAGAAGGGCTGTCTTTATTTCATTAAAATGGTGGAATGTGCAGAAAATAGGTTTAAATGTTCAACAATTTTCTTCTAGTCTGAGACTGTTGCATTTAATTTAATTTTTGCTTGATGCAATGTGCATAAAGTTAAAATATTGAAACAAATAAAACAAGTTTAAAAAAAGAGAATGTTTAATTTGATTACATTTTAGATGATGGAATATGCAAAAAGAATAGAATTAGGCTGAAAGGTCTATACTTTAGCATATTCAGGTTGTGCATCATGTTTTTGAAAAGTAACTTAGTAAAGTAACTAGTAAAGTAACTAATTACTTTTTCAGTAGAGTAATTGGATTACTTGGAGAAGTAATCAGTAATCAGTAACTAATTACTATTTCCAAGTAACTTGACCAATACTGCTTACTACATACAGTAGGCACTCTGATTCCATGTATGGGGCATTTATTATTCATATGCAGGGCCTGAAGTTAATTTTTTCGGCCACCGGCCACTGTGGCAGGTGGATTTAAAAATTCACCCGCCACAGAGACTTTTTACCAGCCATTTTTTTTTTTTGCCTCATAAACGTAAAACCCGGGAATTTCACAATATTGTTCTTTAACTTGTAAGAACACACATTTTAGTGCTGTCAAGTAATAATAACTCTAATAACATACATAAAAAAAAAAAAAAATTATTCATTGATTTTGACAGACACACACACACACACACACAACATATATAGGCTAGTATATACTCAACAGATAGACCTACCGCAGCTCGTAAACAAATCACACGCGGCTGTGTTGATGGCGGATTTAGTCACGTAGGTCTTACTCTTAACAGCTTTTAGTTACAGCGTTCAGGAACGGTTAAATATGAACTAAATTAATAATGTTATTACTGATAAAATTACCGGGTACCGGACATTTTCTCACCGGTTCCCAACTCCCAACATGCACAGTTGCACACGCACACACATCTGTGCAACTGTCATTGTACTGTAACCTACAACAGCGACGCGTTACATTATCTCATCCCATCTCATCAACAGTTTAATACTCGCACACGTAGTCAGAAAAAGAGCCTCGTCTTCTTCTGATCGCATGAACGTTACGAAACAACAGTCGCTGTCATAAATCAGCCGCTCACGAACCTTGCCATTGCCGCCGATTGTTCACTTTGTATTAAAATGTCTTCTTTACTTTTATTTTTCTCATCCTCATCTTTTTGTTGGCTGTTTGTTTTGTTTCAGCTGGCCTCTTTACCCCAGTAATGTGCCGCCACATTTTAGCTAAAGTCCACCGCAATAGCGGACTTCGTTGAAATGTAAAAATCCTAATGAATCACTCAATTCTCATTGGCTACCCGACAATGTGGCAGGTAGATTGACAGTGTTACCCGCCAATAGCAAAATTCACCCGCATTTGGCAGGTGGTCGGGTGTTAATTTCAGGCCCTGTTCATATGACACACAAACACAAGTAGATAAGACCTGTTTAGTTCAAAAGATCACTCGTTATGGAAAAGCGCAGATCATAAGTGATGATACGAGCAGCGCGGGCGTGGCCAGATCTGCCTCGTGCGCACGCCAAATATGCACACTATTGCGACTCCCCACCCTGCCTTCACGTTACCCACTATTCGTACTATGAATACTTCGACCTCGTCTAACATACCCAGTGATAATGACAAAGTCTCCACCACAATACTGTCGGGGGGTGGATTTGGCGACTCAAATCGGGGGTTGGAGGTAAAACCTGACTTTTCAAATGAGTGTGAACGTGAACTGTGCGTGCTCGTATCGTGAGTGAGTGCCGCTCTCGTTTGCGTTCATTGTATGAAAAAGTGATTCGTTCAGTTCAGCGTTCGGCGAAAATATGTAACGTCATTCATTGAACTCGTTCATGCACAACACTGCTCATGACCATAGGTGAGAGTAGGAACGTAAATTGACCGGTAATTCGAGAGCTTTGCCTTTCGCCTCAGCTCCTTCTTTACCACAACAGACCGCTACATCGACCGCATTGCTGCAGAAGCTGCACCGATCTGTCAATCTCTCGTTCCATCCTTGCCTCACTCGTGAACAGAACCCCAAGATACTTAAACTCCTCCACTTGAGGAAGCATCTCTCCCCCAACCTGAAGTGAGCAAGCCATCCTTTACCGACTGAGGACTATGGCCTCAGATTTGGAGGTGTTGATTTTTATCCCAGCCGCTTCACACTCGGCTGCAAACCGTCCCAGTGCATGTTGAAGGTCCTGGTGTGAAGGGGCCAACACGACAACATCATCCGCAAAAAGCAGAGACGGAATCGTGTGGTCCCCAAACCTGACACCCTCCGGCCCCTGGCTGTGCCTAGAAATTCTGTTCATAAAAATTATATACAGAACCGGCGACAAAGGGCAGCCCTGCCGGAGTCCAACATGCATCGGAAAGAAGTCAGACGTACTACTGGCAATGCGAACCAAGCTCCTGCTTCGGTCATACAGGGACCGGACAGCCCTCAGCAAAGGACCACATACTCCCGCAGCACCCTCCACAGGCTGCCTTGGGTGACACAGTCAAATGCCTTCTCCAAATCCACAAAGCACATATGTGGACTGGTTGGGCAAACTCCCAAGAACCCTCCAGCACCCTCTAGAGAGTATAGAGCTGGTCATTACAACATTTTTAAAACATTCTTTGCTTGCATGTGGTTTGCAAATGCATGTTAACAGAATATCTGTCTGTTTTCTTAGTGGATGAGATTCGGTCAAGGCTTGTTTGCTGAATTTGCCATTATGGAAACAAACTGTTCAAAGGAGGAAGCATCCAAGAGTCCAGAAGCATGCACGGCTTTATGTGGGGATCAGGCTGTAAGTGCACAACATTTTAATTACTTTATCATTTATTTAATTAATTACTATAATTAAATTAAAGACACAGCCCAAACCATTGTCTTTTAAGTCACTGTCCAATTTCGAGATTGTGGGCTATTTTACCCATGTCAGACTAGTTCAAACAATAAAGGCTAAACAAGCCTTTAAAGAATAACCAATCTACAGAGTAATAAACTAGTGATGGACATACCAGCCAATCATCTCCTTCTAACTGATCAAAGGGATCGTTCCCTCACACACTTATCCTGACCACATCCAGCCTTAAAGTCCCTGTAAAGTCAAGTCTACAAAAAAGTTCTAAACACAAATGTTACATATGTATTGCTAAAACATATTACAAAGTCTGTGAACTGTGAACAACTGAAATGTGGAGTTAGACCGTTAAACAGTTTTTCACCATTTCAATTTTACGGATAATTTAGGCGGGGCTAAAACAGGGCTCCGTGACGCACTGGAACTCATGAGCTGCTGGACACCCCCCTATTTGATGACGCACAGAGTCTGATCTCCTTCTCTCCACACACACTCCCCGAGCACATTCGCATTCACCGCTCAATCGCTAACGACTGTCAGTACTATTAGTTACTACAACTGATCCTACAGTTTTCTAGCTAGCTATGCCTTCGACACGGACATGCATGGGCTGCTACCTGGATGCGATCATGTACAAAACAGATCGGTATCTTCATTTAAATTCCCTTAAAAACGATCACATCAAGAAGAGGTTTTTAGAGAGCCTAAAGGCCTGTTCACACCGGGACTAATTTCGCGCGCGCGATATTCGTCGAAGTTTAACGCCTCGTGACTAAACAATGGGCGCCAATGTGAGTGTTCACACCGACGCGAAAAACGCGTCATTTTTAAAAAAACGCCTCGGGTTCGCGCCGCGTCAAAACCTATCCGACCAACGAGATTGGCGGGTTTGCTCACGTGTCTGGTACTTCTGAAGTTACAGTAAAACACAACTTGGGGGCGCTCAAACACAAAACGGTCTTGCCGAGCACACATACGGCGAAGAAGAGATAAGATACCTATGGGCAAGATGAATGTTGAGCTGCTGGTCTCGGAGCATAAAGAGCTATATGATAATATTTATATTAGTATTTCTGTAATAATAGTATAGTTTAGGGTGACTAATAGTCCTGTTTTCCCGGGACATGTGTAAAACGGTCACTTTGTGCTTTATAGAAATCTGAGTTGAGATGAGAACTGCGCATAGTGTGCGTTAGTGTCAGTTAAATTTTGACAAGTGAGGAGAGGAGATAACCGCTCTGCCGACTCTTTGTATTCTTTCTTTTATTTTATTTTTCTATTGTGACCAGATGTTTGTGTTTTCATTCTTGCTCGATCCCTATGTATGAGGACGAGTGTAACGTTTGAGTGGTTTTATTAAACGCGGGGAAATACGACAACTCTCTTCTCTCGTTCATCTGTTCATCCGACAACGGCTATGTTTTTATCTCTGGGCAACATCTCAACTTTGCGTTACACATGTCCAGTTTCCACGTCCTGTCCTGACTGTTTTTAAGTGAAATGTCCTGGTTTTCAAAAAAACTGCTGGCAAAGATCAGTTCTACAGCAAAATATAGATGGGCAAACAAGGTGGATGAGGAAGAAAAACAGGATAAAGAGGATGAAAACTAAAGATATAAATAGATTTTGTTAGTTCGTTTTTGTAAGTTTGTGAGAGCTATTTTTTGTAACATTTGGAGGCATTTCTTTTAGTTATTTATTATTTATTTATTTTTCTAAATACAGAAGATAATATTTCTATCATTATTTCATTCGGTTTTTTTTATCTGTCAAAATAAAACATTGAGACATGAATATGATCACCCTAGTTTAGTATTCTATTATTATTTCTGTTTTACATTAAGCGCCATCTAATGTCAGGGAATGAATTTGCATGTTCACTCGGCTCATCGTCAGTGAAAAACGCTTGGGTGTGAACACAAAAAACGCGTTGAAAAAAGCTGACGGGGCCGAAACGTCGATCTCCCGCCTCAGCTTTCATCCTCCCGTCTTTAAAAGCTAATCAGCTAATATCACCGTCAACAGCCGTGAGTGGGTGTGGTTTCTGCGCAGCCAGCGAACACGCCCCCAGCGTTTGAGAGCAGAGAATCTGCTCATTTTTTCGTGATTTTGATAGCTTATTTTATGTACTTCCCGACTTTTTTTATCATTCAAATTTGGCTGGGTGGCTAATTACACATTTTTCTGTGGTGTGACAAACTCAGAACACATACTTAATTTTGACTTTACAGGGACTTTAACAAGGCACCATATTCACCATATTAACCAGTAACTTCATACAGTTCTTTAGTTCCTTCAAGATCTGTAGTTTTGAACACCTCTCTTTCCCTTTGTTTTACTCTAGCGGTATGGGTTCTGTGAGTCCTCTAACATCAGAGCTCCAGAAAAAGGGCTTGTATGTGCAGATGTGGAGTGTAAAGTTTATGAAGCTCAGGTATACATCTCGATAACACACTTAAACTGGAAAAGTAAGTCACAGTTATTGTGTCCTCTATAGCTATGCAATTATTGTGCTCTACTTGTTTCCAGAAATTAACTGATCCAATACAACACCCCGCTCAGTCAAAGAGAGACTGTAAATTCCATGGGCTTCCACCCTACTGCCAACCAGAACATCAACCAGGGCATGAACACCCCCATCGCCCGGGACATGCAGGCCGTGACCATGAAGACAAAACATCTGACCAAAGGGGCCGTCCAGAACATGCAGGCCGTGACCACGAAGATAAAATGGGCCCTTACCAAAGGGGCCGTCCAGGACATGCAGGCCATGGCCACAAAGACAAAACATCTGACCAAAGGGGCCGTCCAGGATATGCAGGCCATGGCCACAAAGACAAAACATCTGACCAAAGGGGCCGTCCAGGACATGCAGGCCATGGCCACAAAGACAAAACATCTGACCAAAGGGGCCGTCCAGGATATGCAGGCCATGGCCACAAAGACAAAACATCTGACCAAAGGGGCCGTCCAGGACATGCAGGCCGTGACCACAAAGACAAAACATCTGACCAAAGGGGCCGTCCAGGACATGCAGGCCATGGCCACAAAGACAAAACATCTGACCAAAGGGGCCGTCCAGGACATGCAGGCCGTGACCACGAACACAAAACATCTGACCAAAGGGGCCATCCAGGACATGCAGGCCATGGCCACAAAGACAAAACATCTGACCAAAGGGGCCGTCCAGGACATGCAGGCCGTGACCACAAAGACAAAACATCTGACCAAAGGGGCCGTCCAGGACATGCAGGCCGTGACCACAAAGACAAAACATCTGACCAAAGGGGCCGTCCAGGACATGCAGGCCGTGACCCCAAAGACAAAACATCTGACCAAAGGGGCCGTCCAGGACATGCAGGCCATGGCCACAAAGACAAAACATCTGACCAAAGGGGCCGTCCAGGACATGCAGGCCGTGACCACGAACACAAAACATCTGACCAAAGGGGCCATCCAGGACATGCAGGCCATGGCCACAAAGACAAAACATCTGACCAAAGGGGCCGTCCAGGACATGCAGGCCGTGACCACGAACACAAAACATCTGACCAAAGGGGCCATCCAGGACATGCAGGCCATGGCCACAAAGACAAAACATCTGACCAAAGGGGCCGTCCAGGACATGCAGGCCATGGCCACAAAGACAAAACATCTGACCAAAGGGGCCATCCAGGACATGCAGGCCATGGCCACAAAGACAAAACATCTGACCAAAGGGGCCGTCCAGGACATGCAGGCCATGGCCACAAAAACAAAACATCTGACCAAAGGGGCCATCCAGGACATGCAGGCCATGGCCACAAAGACAAAACATCTGACCAAAGGGGCCGTCCAGGACATGCAGGCCGTGACCACAAAGACAAAACATCTGACCAAAGGGGCCGTCCAGGACATGCAGGCCATGGCCACAAAGACAAAACATCTGACCAAAGGGGCCGTCCAGGACATGCAGGCCGTGACCACAAAAACAAAACATCTGACCAAAGGGGCCATCCAGGACATGCAGGCCATGGCCACAAAGACAAAACATCTGACCAAAGGGGCCGTCCAGGACATGCAGGCCATGGCCACAAAGACAAAACATCTGACCAAAGGGGCCGTCCAGGACATGCAGGCCGTGACCACGAACACAAAACATCTGACCAAAGGGGCCATCCAGGACATGCAGGCCATGGCCACAAAGACAAAACATCTGACCAAAGGGGCCATCCAGGACATGCAGGCCATGGCCACAAAGACAAAACATCTGACCAAAGGGGCCGTCCAGGACATGCAGGCCATGGCCACAAAGACAAAACATCTGACCAAAGGGGCCGTCCAGGACATGCAGGCCGTGACCACAAAAACAAAACATCTGACCAAAGGGGCCATCCAGGACATGCAGGCCATGGCCACAAAAACAAAACATCTGACCAAAGGGGCCATCCAGGGCATGCAGGCCATGGCCACAAAAACAAAACATCTGACCAAAGGGGCCATCCAGGACATGCAGGCCATGGCCACAAAGACAAAACATCTGACCAAAGGGGCCGTCCAGGACATGCAGGCCATGGCCACAAAAACAAAACATCTGACCAAAGGGGCCATCCAGGACATGCAGGCCATGGCCACAAAGACAAAACATCTGACCAAAGGGGCCGTCCAGGACATGCAGGCCGTGACCACAAAGACAAAACATCTGACCAAAGGGGCCGTCCAGGACATGCAGGCCATGGCCACAAAGACAAAACATCTGACCAAAGGGGCCGTCCAGGACATGCAGGCCATGGCCACAAAGACAAAACATCTGACCAAAGGGGCCGTCCAGGACATGCAGACCGTGACCACAAAAACAAAACATCTGACCAAAGGGGCCATCCAGGACATGCAGGCCATGGCCACAAAGACAAAACATCTGACCAAAGGGGCCGTCCAGGACATGCAGGCCATGGCCACAAAGACAAAACATCTGACCAAAGGGGCCGTCCAGGACATGCAGGCCGTGACCACGAACACAAAACATCTGACCAAAGGGGCCATCCAGGACATGCAGGCCATGGCCACAAAGACAAAACATCTGACCAAAGGGGCCGTCCAGGACATGCAGGCCGTGACCACAAAAACAAAACATCTGACCAAAGGGGCTATCCAGGACATGCAGGCCATGGCCACAAAAACAAAACATCTGACCAAAGGGGCCATCCAGGGCATGCAGGCCATGGCCACAAAAACAAAACATCTGACCAAAGGGGCCATCCAGGACATGCAGGCCATGGCCACAAAGACAAAACATCTGACCAAAGGGGCCGTCCAGGACATGCAGGCCATGGCCACAAAAACAAAACATCTGACCAAAGGGGCCATCCAGGACATGCAGGCCATGGCCACAAAGACAAAACATCTGACCAAAGGGGCCGTCCAGGACATGCAGGCCGTGACCACAAAGACAAAACATCTGACCAAAGGGGCCGTCCAGGACATGCAGGCCATGGCCACAAAGACAAAACATCTGACCAAAGGGGCCGTCCAGGACATGCAGGCCGTGACCACGAACACAAAACATCTGACCAAAGGGGCCATCCAGGACATGCAGGCCATGGCCACAAAGACAAAACATCTGACCAAAGGGGCCATCCAGGACATGCAGGCCATGGCCACAAAGACAAAACATCTGACCAAAGGGGCCGTCCAGAACATCCATACTGTCCAAAAGGCCCTTCAGGGTTTCCAGAATTAGCATCTGAGGGACATCATGAATTCCCATGCCATGGCTTTGTAAAAGTCCCCTCATCTGTTTATCCAATCTGCCCCTTCCCTCCACCATGTATCTGCTAGGGCCCTCCAGACCTTGTACCTAATCCTTCTATTCCTTCTCCTCCTCCTCTGTAACTAACCACTAAAATCTGCTGAGGAACATCCAGATGTTCTCCCAGGTTGCAGGGTTTGAAAGGGAAATAACTAAACAACAGAAGAGTGTAAATGTCTCCAGTCCAATAAATAATCTTTACTGACCAGTGTGATTGATATTGATATTGTCCTGAAACACAATATTACAATATTAAAAAACAGCTGTGACAAGAAAATCAAAACGTGTATAAATACAAAATTCTTTCATCAAAATCTAGACGGTGCAGGCTAATAGGTCCTAAATCAACCTGCTCGTAATCACATCATTATCTATAGGGCGCAGCTGATGGGTTCCTGCTGTATCAATAGCCAATGATCTTGCGTGCTCAACCTTCAAATACATGGGTAGCATTTGCCTGTCATGTATGTATTGGCAGTAGGAAGTCCCGTTCTCGCTCTTGTCATTGTCATATCCATTACCATGCCAAACACTCAGAGAGTTGTCATGACAGAACTGTAAATGATGCCTGAAAAAGTTGCCAAGAACAATTAACAAACAAAACATTTGAAAACATCAACCAACATCTTTACGCTGTACGTTTAAGGGTTCATAACATGAACAATCCTATTTACATTGATCTTTTGAATATGAGACTAAGAAAACATACTGTAATGCTTCTACTTATTTAAAAAAAGACTATTTGATGAGGTGATAAATACATCAATACACAATCATCCAAGTTTACTGTCGCAATGAGAAATCAGCACAGATGCTATTATTCCTTAACACCAGAAGAACTGACCGCTAACCTGGCTGTGTGATCCTCTTAGCACATGCTTCTGAAGAACCATAACGTTAGAAAGTTGGCTAAAGTTTGCTAAAGTGGCTAAAGTTTATTATTACTGATAACTTCAGTCAGATCTTTACAATTTTCAGTGTGGATTGAGACACACAATGTAATGCAGACTTTTAAAAAAGACTGTTACTGAAAGATACAGAATGAGTTCAACCAGAAAGACTCAGGAGAATACTGTAACAATAAATACATTTACAGTATTGATAGCCCAGCAAGCAATAAAGTTCTTTGGCGTAGGCCCCGTCCATAGCTCGCAATCCGAGGGTCCAGACTCTGCATTTCCTGCCCGAAGACGAAGGCAGGGGCGCAGCCGACCCCCTGGGAGGTATAGGAAGGGACCATCCTGGTGGTGGTGGGGAGGTTGGAAGGGAAGGAACCATCTTGGAGGTGGTGGGGAGGATGGAGGTCAATGGAAGCGTCAGCATCTGCAAACTCAAACACATGTAAGTACCGGTCTTATATACCGCAATTATTAGACAAGATTGGATAGATGAGAAGGTAATTAGTGACGCAACAATTGAGTCTTCCTGGCAGAACTTACTGCTAAAGCTTCCATTTCAACCAGAAAGACTTTTCTTTGGCGTAAGCCCCGTCCATAGCTCGCAATCCGAGGGTCCGAACTCTGCATTTTCTGCCTGAAGGCAAAGGCAGGGGCGCAGCCGACCCCCAAAAATAAGTGGAAGATAATTCCACTAGACGAAGCCCACCCCCAAAGAAAAGAAAAAAAGAAAAAGTATACCCACCAGCCATATATTATGTAGTCCTAGAATAAAAGAGAGAAAAAGAGTTAGCAAACAGCTGGTAGACATGGATGTAACAAATTCCATGGATAGTAGGATATATAGAATTCCATCAACATCGTCGTGGGAACAGTAACTCTACAATATAAAAGTGGAGCATGCTTTATTTTTTATGAAAGATACTTTTCTGCTGCTGAATTACACGATACATTTACGCATTTGCTGACGCTTTATTGATTTATTTTAAACTCTGCGCACTGAGAAGAGGCAGCGATGAGCCACGCATAGACGAGGCCAAGCTGAGCCACAGAGACGAGGTCATGCTGAGCCACATAGACAAGGCCACGCTGAGCCACATAGACAAGGCCACGCTGAGCCACATAGACAAGGCCACGCTGAGCTACATAGACAAGGCCACGCTGAACCATATAGACAAGGCCACACTGAGCTACATAGAGAAGGCCACGCTGAGCTACATAGACAAGGCCACGCTGAGCCACATAGACAAAGCCACGCTGAGCCACATGGACAAGGCCACTATGAGCCACATAAAAACGAGGCCATGCTGAGCCACATAGACAAGGCCACGCTGAGCCACATAAACAAGGCCACGCTGAGCCACAAAGACAAGGCCACGCTGAGCCACATAGACAAGGCCACGCAGAGATAAGACCACACAGAGCCACATTGAGACAAGGCCACGCAGAGCCACATAGACGAGGCCACGCTGAGCCACAGAGACGAGGTCATGTTAAGCCACACATAGACGAGGTTCACTGAGCCACTAGGCTGCTAGAGCTCCGCATGTAATGGCATAGAAAACACACTAGGCTGTGCAAAGCAGGCCCCCTAAGGACCGTACAGCTGGCGATGGCGCGAGGCGAATTATTCAAGCTGAGACTATCACCAGATAGATGAAGCATACACCACCACCAGTAATTGCATAGGAATTTACCTGAATCGTTACTGCAATGCTTGCTGAGCTTGGAGAATGATCTTTAGATCGGGTCTCACATAACTCTAATGCAGAGGAAGACCATCTGCCCAGGATCTTAATAGCTGAAGTGGCTGCCCAGATCCTGGAGTGATGACATTATACCGGGAGGGAGGCAGACTGCAGCTACTGAGGACAGAACTGACAAATCCTGACCAGGTTAAAGAGTAGTGCTCCGTTAGTTATGATAATTAGAAATTTGATTATAGATGAGAAGGGACAGAATTTAATCCCAATTTATAAACTGATAATGTGATGCAAAGCCTTTATGGTCATTCTTAGAAGGAATTAGGTAAGGAATGTAATTAGAAAAGACCATGGGGGAAATCGGGAGTGTTTAACACTTGGAGTGAATCCCCTGGATGCATGAGCCATGAACGGTAACAGACAGCTATAATCTGAATAACAATAAGAAAGAGACCACTGCAGACAGAGGTAATCAAAAGGGGTTGAGTGGATTTTGCTTTCTGACTTGGAGTGTAATGCTGCTGTTTTAAGCATAACCAACATCTGCAAGGTTCAAACAGTAGAAGAATTCATTTGAGAATTGCTTTTTAAAGAATGCAACAGTGCTGGGAGGAGCTGGGTTAGTGCATCACAGCCTAAATATAATTGATCCTGCCAGCGGGACATAATATATATAATATCGAGACAGAACAACCTAACCGGTGACTAGAAATAACTACGCATGAGCTACATAATCCATCAATGGTCATCTGCAATGTTGACTATGTTGACGCTTCTTGAGGCTCCATCTTATGCGATTCCAGTTGAACAAGTGAAAAGTTAAATGTTGGTGATAGGTAATCGAAGCTGCAAAGGAGCTGTTGAAACTCCGATCCCTGTGCCGGAAGCAGCAGCCCTACCATGTCCAAATGTGGAGACAAAACAATATGCTTACTCACCCTAGAAATGACCATTACTACCCAATTATCTTTGCATACCCATACATATCCTGCCAAAGAAAGAGGGCACAATTATACAATTTTTTTTTTTTTTTTTACCAGAGGTTTATTATGCCTTAAGCAAACAAAGAGAAGGTACGGGGAACAGACTTGAACAATTAGGATTAAAATACTTGCGTGAATTTGAATGCCTGCGAGCAAAGTATGAATGGAAGGAATATTAAATTTCAATTTTCATAATTATATACAAGAAAGGAACAGCGAGCCATGATCAGGATGTGAAAGAGGAATCTAAGTGATAATTGATCTGTTGACTCTTGAGCGTGAAATCTTTTTCTCAGGTGTGCATGGCTCCCAAGTTGCTCTTTGCAGAAATTTGCAGAAATTACCTGGAAGGCGCTGGCCACAACAGTTGAGAATCTTGAATAAATGGTGCATAGACATGTAAATCACACAGTTGAGCAAGACAATGTCACTCGAGTCTCCTTCACTGATTAGTCTGATATATAATACTAATATGACTGTGGAGTTAGCAGTTTTTTGGCCATGTATATGTAACTTTGACCGGCGCTACACAACTCCTTGATCCTTTAGTATGCATTTCTATGTACATTATTGTGAAAAATACCCCTCACATAAATGATTCCTATAACACATATCAGTAGATTAAGTAGCCACCAGAAAGTTGAGTATTACATCGATTATACACATTTCCAATGTTATAGATCTAATTTGAAGTATAAAGTGACTTTATGAGTTTAAAGTAGCCTAATAGGTGAAATAGTTGTTTGTGAAATTACTATTACACTAGTGATATGTAAATTACTGCCATTCTAGTCCACTGCAGTATATGCATAACAGCCAATGACAGACATGCTCTTTAGCTCGGGTTTTATTTATATACACACGCAACCGAACTCTGGTGAGTGAGCAAACGTTATGAAGAGCGCGACCCGTGATATTGCATATGCATAAATCTTATTTGATTTATAATCAACACAGTTGTTAGTGGGTAATTGGAAACTGAGCGTGGTATTGACAAGCTGATATAATTAAATAACCACAGAAATGTGGAATATATCGGTACGCGAAACTTTGCTTACACTTGCTACGAGCATTGAGGCGAGAATCAGCCGTAGTAATAATCAGATCACACCACGTCATCATCATGGACACCAATGGGCTCTATGCACAGCTGCACTACTTCCTGAACTTAAGCCAGCTCCTTGTTTCCTGTCTGCCATTATTGGCCAAATTGATTAATTCAGGTGTGTCTGATTATTGTTGCCGTGACTACTGAGGTCAGGCACACCTGAATTAATAAATTTGGCCAATAATGGCAGACAGGAAACAAGCAGCTGGCTTAAGTTCAGGAAGTAGTGCAGCTGTGCGCCCATTTCAACTCAGCCATGAAGGAATTCATGGAGAAATACTTACCTGAATGAAGTTTAATCTTTTAGAGGAGACACATTAACAGCCTACCAAAAATTGAAAAACGACTTGAAAGTCTTGGAAGTGGAGTTTGAACTTGAACCAGTGAGAGATCGACTCATGATTTGCATAGTTGTTAATTCATGTCGGTGGATCGGTGATCTGCGGGATAAATGGCACCAGTCTAAGGAGCAGAACTTCTCATGAAGGCCTTGGCTGATTAATACTCTCCGAAGA